GTTTAGGAAATTATATTTAAACAAAGGTATTTAGAAACAAGATTCCTGGTCACAGAGACCGAAGATTAGAACTATGGACTCTGGAATTTTGCAAACTCATCTTTTCCTTCAGGGAAAACACAAGACCTCAATCCAGTAAAGGGCTACGGCTCGGAAAGGAGAGCTCTTGGGCCAGGACTTCTGAGGCATAAAGCAGGCCCCTGATCCCCAAGACCACACGGTAAGCAACGCCTACCACCACCCAGAAAAAAGACAAACTGCATGAGTGACCCGCACGGCCACTCAGTTGTCACTTCTTCCTGGTGAGGAGGCAGAACCCTAGATATACAAAATAAATAACTATCTCCAGGCATGCACACTGGCTCTGTTTGTTTAAATGTGCATTCCTAGTTGGGTCCTAATGAAAAACACTAAAGTTTACAAAAGAAAAAAAATCTGCCCTGGATGGTATAGCTCAGTGGATTGAGAAACAGCCTGAGACCCACGGGGTTGCTGGTTCAATTCCCTGTCAGAGCACATGCCTAGGTTGTGGGCCAGGTTCCCCAGATGGCAGTGTGCAAGAGGCAACCAATTGCTGTATCTCTCACACACTGATGTTTCTCTCCCTTTCTCCCTCCCTCTGGAAATAAAATAAAATCTTTTTTTTTTTTAAGATTTTATTTATTTATCTTTAGAGGGGAAGGGAAGGAGAGAGGGAGAGAAACATCAATGTATGGTTGCCTTTTGTGCGTCCCCTGCTGGGAACTGGCCTGCAGGGAACCTGCCTGCAACCCCAGTATGTGCCCTGACTGGGAATCGAACCTCGATTGTCTAGTTCGCAGGCCCGCGCTCAATCCACTGAGCTACACCAGCTTGGAAATAAAATAAAATCTTAAAAAGAAAGAAAGGCAGGACTGTTACACAATGGGTGTGAGTGAATATTTAACACTACTGTCCTCAATAACACACTACAGAAATGACAGGCCACCCTGGCTGGTGTGGCTCAGTGGATTGAGCACTGGCCTGCAAACCAAAAAGTCACTGCGTTGATTCCAACTCAGGGCATATACCTGGGTTTCAGGGTAGAAACTTGTCCCAAACCATTTAAATAGTGACAGCCAGGCATGGACCCAGATCTCATGGTTTTTTTCTACCCAGAGCTCAGAGCTTCCATTATGCAGAAAAAACTCTTGAAGAACCAGAGCCGGGCTTCACCAGGTCAAGGCCTCAATCTTTCTTCACACCACTCAGCTGGTGAATCAACAAATAGACCTTTTCTGAAGGGCCTGCCTTCTGAAGCCTCCATGCCAAATACAATGTGGGTCACACTGCTCACTGCTGTACTTTGTGCTCTATTTTATTTATTATTTTATCATATTTTCTCCACTACCACTTATCCTCCCAATACTCTCTTCCACCCCCACCCACCCCCACTGCTGCACTCCTGCCTGCCTCTGTTCACTGCAGTTGCCAGCCCCTTGAGGGAAAGGGCCACTTCTGAACTCTCTGGCACCCAGCGAAACACTGAGCTCAGTGCAGGCATTCAGTGTTTGTTAACAATGAACGAAAGATGGTCTGGCTCTCAGATTTCTATTTGTCATGAGGCAACAAGCCCAGGACCTCAGAAATTCAAGTGGCAGAAAGAGGCCAGATTGATGGTTAAACCAGAGCCACGCTCTCTGAGCACCTGTGTAAATGTCAACAACAAAGGAATCGGAACTCTCAGGTCTATTTGGGATTTACGGATTGTTATCTGAACTCCAACACAAGTTTGTCCACAGCTGCCAGACCTGACCCCATCAGTTAGGGAGGCCAGGAGCCTAGGAGCAGGGGTGAGGATGGATTCTGAAACAATTTCCAAAACACAGAAACCAGGTCTACAGATGTCTCCCACACAGGGGCCCACAGACACCTAGCCCTCTCTGACAACACTCCTTCAGATTGTTCTTCACAGCAAAGCTTCATGACCTTTCACCTGCAAAGATTTCTACATTCTGCTCCCATGTTTTGAAGACTGTCTTCCAAAATGAAGTAGGCAGTGATCTCTCAGTAATCCCAGAAATAAGTAACTGCTAAACAGCATGTCTAACTGTCATGAGGCGAGCAGAGATATACCAGGCAAAGTCACCTATCACTTTAGATAAAACCCCCGAACAGGGACGTCTGCAGCCTCAGGTGGGACTATATGATTCTGTTCTCTAAAACAGAAGTCTGACATGAGACCAGCGATTGCATGTTCAGAACTAGTACTATGAGACCATTTTCATAGAATGCAAAGATATATTTGTACAAGAAAGTTTAAACATCATTCTTTTTTAAAATTTTTACTTATTTATCTTTAAAGGGGAAGGGAGGGAGAGAGGGAGAGAAGTTTCAATGTATGGTTGCCTCTTGTGTGTCCCCTGCTGGGAACTGGCCTGCAACCCAGGCATGTGCCCTGACTGGGAATTAAACTGTGGTTGTTTGGTTCCCAGGCCACGCTCAATCCACTGAACTACACCAGCCAGGGCAAGCATCATTCTTTATAAAAAGGAAAACTGGAAACAACCTACATACCCATAAGTAAGGAAACAATTAAATAAATTGAGATCTATTCGTATAACAGAATGAGCTGCAGCTATTGAAAAGAATGAGGTACATCCATGTATACTGACAAAGATACCAGTTACTTAATTTTATTGAGTGGCTTCATGCCAGGATACATGTCTATAATGTCTTAAGTAGTTTAAAATAGTATATAAAAGTATATGTCCCAAGAGGGGTTTTAAAAAGTTAGACATATACATGGAAAAAAAATATCCTGTAAGGGTAGAAGAGAAACTGTTGGCAGTGGTCACCTCTAGGTGTGGAAACGTGGGGGGACAGAAGGAAGGAAGGAAGGAAGGAAGGGGGACTCTTACTTCTCACTTTATATACTTCTGTGCTGTGGTTATGTTTTTAAATCATCACCACATAAGTTTTCTAAGTTAACAAAAATATATATTGTAGAAATCTATAGACTAGTAATATACATAAGGGCAAAAGCTGGACAAACATACACCAAATTATTGGTGTATGTGTCTAAAGACATTAGTACTTATTCACTCCTGTAATGTTTTAACTTTTAGCATTATTTCATAATAAAAATTGTTATAAGTTCTTTTTAGAATATAGTTACTTGGGACCCCGCATCTCAAGGACGTGGTAATAACTGGTGAGCAGACTCCTCCTTATGACTAAGAGAAGGAGAGAAGTTCAAAAGTTTGTTGTGTCCTCTTCATTTTTTCATGACCCCAGCTCCACCTAAGACATTCCACCTGCTGCCCCTCCCATCATCAGAAATACAGACTCTGGCAATGTACCTGGGGTTTTCCTTCCAAAATTCCAAGGATTGACCCACAAATATCTACTGATCCTCTAGTGAGCCAGGAACTTTGCCAGGGATTTTGCCAGACACAAAGAAGGTAGCCATGGTCTCTGCTCTCAAGGAACTTAAGCCCAGACAGTTTCACACCAAGAGTCCCAAGACATCCTTCAGATGTCCTGTGAGGCCACTTAGACACTAGCAACCTGAAAAGGGTCCTTCTGATATAATTTTCCCCCGGCAAATGAAAACATCACATTTTTCTACTTTAGCATCACATTAGACACCATGGCAACAGAGGGCTGTACCAAGAATTAGCTCAGGGACGACCTAGCCAACACAAATCAGCTTAATACTCACTGAGCAAGATTCTTGGAAGGAAAAGAAGTTCAAGTAAGTACAGTAACTCTCTCCAGCTTTCAACAAACAGAATTGGTTCTCTTCTCCCAGGGCTCTATTTCTCCAATTTTTCTCTGTGTGCCCTGTGACCAATGGAGACAGATGTTTTCAGCTATCTCCAAGCTCAAGGGTCAGTGCTCTGGAACACCAACAGCCCATTCACATCATACACTTGGGAAGCTCTGAAGAGGACTGAAGGTGCCCACAAAACATGCTCACATTTACAGAGTAAAACAGAAGGCCAAATCAAAGTCTCATCCATTTATGTGACCAACAAAGAACCCCAGTATCTAGTTCAGATTCTATAGACACTAAGATCTGCAGGGGTATTCCATTCCAGGTAAGGCAAGTCTAGCTCGATGCCAGAAGCAAACAGATTTCCTGAAAGCTGCACTTTCTCTATCCCATTAATACAACTTAACAAGTGCAAGAACTGCAATTAGACTTGGACAGTGTGCTTATTTAGCAAACTCACCCTCTAGTGAGTAAGGATTTCTAAGGGAATGGCCAACTGCAACTGCCCTCCACAGAAGCAGTTTTGTCAGAGTTTTCCCTGATTCCCTTGAGGAAATCACAACACAAGGCAGCCTTTTACATGGGGCTCAGTCCGAAGAATAAACAGGCTTACTAAGATGAGATCTACTTATAACGAGGGGCACCTTCTGGGAAGAACAGCCATTAGTAAACACAGAAGCTCCCATCTGCTGAGTTCCAACTGTGCTAAATGCCTTATACATACTCTTCTCTCTGCAACCACATAAAGTAGGCATGACTATTCCTATTTTGGAATGAGCAAACTAGGACTCAAAGAGCCTCAAGATCTCATAACAGCCAAGAACTGACTCCCAGTCTTTCTGACACCAAAGCTCATGTCTTACCATGAAATCGGACTGCCTGCCCAAGGTACGGGCTATAGGACTGCAAGGGGGAGCCGCAAGGCAGAGCTAGCCCTTCCCACTAGCTCTTTTTTGTGTCTAGAAAAACTACTTTAGACTATCAAAACTGACCTGGCCACACCACCTACCACACATGCAAACACAAAATACAGGTTACCTGTGCTCATCTCAGATCCTGGGCCCTGATAGGTGCCCAACAACACAGTTGAATCCCTGTCCATTCTTAAACCAGCAATCTATTGCAGCTGCACATTTAGCTCCTACTTTATGCCAGGCAGAGCCAGACACTCAGGTGCACATAAAAAACACTATCCCCAAACTCACCACCATGAGACACAACATGATCTAGTCAACAGCAGTCTCATATGTAAAAGTAGAGGACTGTGCTCACTTGGGCAGCACAGATACTAAAATTGGACCGATACAGAGATTAGCATGCCCCTGAGCAACAATAACACACAAATTCGTGAAGCATTCCATATTTTATGCAAAGAAAATAGAGGAGTCATTGGCTGCAAAGAAGTACAGAGGAGTCATTGGTTATATGTGAAACAAGGGGGGGGGGTTTCCCAAGGAAATAAAATCTAAGGTGAATTATAAGGACAGATGTAAATTTCCCAAAGTGATGGGTGGAAGGGGAAAGAAGAGTATCATAAAAATGAGAAAACCGACTGGCTCGCGTGGTTCAGTGGATTGAGCACCAGCCTGCGACCCAAAAGGTCCTGGGGTTGGATCTCCGGTCAGGGCAGGCGCCTTGCGTTAAAGGCTAAGTCGGGGGGCAGAGAGTGTGAGAGGCAACCACACGTTGATGCCTCTCCCATCTTTCTCTCTCCCTCCCCCTCTCTCTAAAAATAAATACTTCTTTCAAAATGAGAAAACTGGGTATCTAAAGCACAAGGGTATTAAACCACAGAGCTAACAGAAGGCTCACACGCCCCAACGACAAAATATGTAAATAGAAGTCAAAATGCCCAGGTGTTGACTTTAGGGTTAGGCCTCTATCAGATTATGAAGAGCCCTGAATGCCTTCGTAAGAAGCTTAGCTCTCGGCGCTAAGGAGCCAGTTTCAGGCAGTGAAGGACTTACTTAGCTGAGCATTATCACTTCAGCAGCCTCATTTGTGGGAGTGAGCATGGACAGTTGGGCTTCCCCTCCTAAGCAGAGGGATGACTGACTGGCTTGCGGGGCAGGCGACCTGGCTGGACTCAGGCCTGCTTTTTAACAGACTGAATAAGGAAGTGACCAGCTCCCCGCCAGCCCGTGGCGTTCACTCGCAAAGGAGGAGTGTGGAGTAGGTGCTGGACACAAAAAGGGAGTGAGGACAACCGAGTTAGTTCACCATGACCGACGCCGGCTTGGCTGAACAGCAGCAGGCAGGGCAGCTGACCACGTCTACCAGGCCCACGAGGCCCCAGAGAAGGACTACCTAGAGCAGCAGCACGTTTCAAGGCCACTCCAGGCTCGGACGCGGGGAACCCCGAGCAGACATTGCATGGCCTCCTCCCCAGCCCAATAGGCCCCGGCACACCTGCCACGGGCCGAGGGCTCGGGTCTGGGAAAGGACAGGCCCGGTGCGCCAGGAAGCGACCGTGGCCGCAACTCGCCAGCCCCTCCCGCCCGTTGGGCCGTAGCCCTGGGCCGGGCCGCCTCACCTCGAGGGGGCGGCGGGCTCTTCGGCGTCTTGGCGGCTGCGCTGACCCTCTCGGGGCCGTGGCCACGGCCACCGCCGCCGCCATCCTCAGGCGTTAGCGTCGTGGCGTCATCACAAAGCGCGTTTGACGCCAAAACAAACCAGGGCCGCCTGCGGGGCGGGGTGGGATGGGGGCGGACCCTCGGGAGGGCCGGGCCACGCGGTTGGGGGCGCACCCAGCCCGGCTTGCCAATCAACGCCTTCAGGGCGGGGACGCGCGCTCTAGGGTTAGGAGGCGTTTAATTGCTGCTCAACTGTTGTTCGCCTGTAACCTGCGGAGGAACCTATTCTAGAAAAGAAGGTACACCTGAAACTAATATAAAATATCAACTATAACGGAAAGTAAAAAGATTAAATTTTAAAAAAAGAAAAAGGAGGAACTGCGTAGAGAGGAAGTTTCAAGCTCCTGGTTAGCGGAGAGAGTCTTCTGTCATACAAGGTTGGGGACATAATACCATACCTGTCAACAGGTTTCTGAAAGCGCCTCTGAAACTCCGCAAAAGATCGATTTAAGTTGAATTAACAAAAACATTTTTGAAAACTGCAGTTAAAATAACTCTGGCACTCGGCTGAGTTAAATTTGACCTCTATCTCAGAGGAGTTAAAAATGGTACTTCAGGGATTGGTGGTCAGTCTTGGGCAATTTAGGAACAACAGATATTTGTTGTAATTGAATTTAGGTGTATCCGAAGACTGCAAAGCAAGTAGATTTTGTTTAAAAAGAAAAAACTTGTTATCACTCACAATGACTTCTCTGTAAGATCAGAATTGTCTCACTACTTTACAGACCACCCAGACTGCAGGGGTGGGCAAATAGATGCTGCAGATAATAAGATTGTAATCTCTTTCCATCTTCCTCACTTTGGTCTGTTCATTGATTCAACAGGTCTTTACTGAATGAACACTTACTTTGTACATGGGACTGTCTTTAATGGATTATATAAACCAGTGATTTCCTTTCTTTCATTCCTTCTTTTTATATTAAAATTGCTACACAAAAATACTTCTTTAATTGATTTTAGAGAGAGGGAGGAAAGGAAAGAGAAACCGATTTTTGTTGTTCCATTTATTTATGTATTTATTGGTTGATTCTCATATGTACCCAGACTGGAGATCAAACCCAAAACCTTGGTGTATCAGGACAAAGTTCTAACCAGATGAGCTACCAGGCCAGAGCGAGCCAGCAATTTTCAACCTGTGTGCCACAGCAGGTACACTGGTGCTACAAGAATTATTTTTTAGAAGATTTTATTTATTTTTTAGAGAGAGGGGAAGGGAGGTAGAAAAAGGGAGGGAAACGTGAATTGTGGGAGCTACATCGACTGGTTGCCTCTTACACGCCTCCCAGCTGGGGACCTAGCCAGCAACCCAGGCATGTGCCCTGATTTGGAAATGAATCAGCAACCTTTTGGTTCACAGGCTGCACTCAATGCACTGAGCCTCACCAACTAGGACTCACAGGCATTTTTAAGATATGCAATACATGACCTCTTTTCCCTTAGATTATCCATTAAAAATATGACAACAGCCAACACAACAATAGCTGTCTGGTGTGAATGAATAAAAATTATACCTAATTTTTTGTCAGATCAGCAAAATAATGTATTTTTGGTGTGCTGTAGAATTTTAGTAATTAGTGTATGTTGCCATGAGATGAAAAAGTTTGAAAGTCACTGATATACGTGGTTAAACTTTAATCCTAAAAATAAATTAACACAAATAAACATCATTTTATCTGTTCTATTTAGTAGGGAATTATAAAGGATTTTTTTTTAAGAAAGAAAAACTTTAGAAATTGTTTCTAAAAGTCTGGTATGATGAGTATGAGTGTAGGTTTGGGGGCCAAAGAAACTTTGGATTATATCCCAGGTTTGACACTTTCATAGTTGTGTGACTTTAGGCAAGACATCTCCCTTAAGCCTCATTTTTTCTTATCTGTATAATGGGGATCATAACCCTAACCCCACAGAGTTGTTGTGAAGGTTAAGAGCAACATAGAAAACCAGGGTTAATGGGGCGTAGAAATTCATACAACACTCCCCTTTTACAGATAGTCAGCAAGTTAATTCAGTAGTTTATTGAGCCCTTTCTGTGCATAGGTGCTGACCCTGGCTCTGGTAAAGAACGAGGTGAAGAAGCATATTGATGCAGAGGGGACCCAGCCCAGCACATCCAGACCCCAGGGCTCCCCTGAACAATAAGCTGTTCCATGTCTGCAGAGCTGCAAATATGAGAAACACCATCCCCATGATGCTCTGGCCTGGGCAGCTGTGTCCAGGGCCCAGTCAGTTTGGCTCTCAGCTTACACTGTCCTCCAGCTTTAGGATCAAATACATAAAGCTTTTAAGCCCCTGGCCAGAGAGCAGATTCTGTCCCCACCCCCAACCCCATTCACAGATACCAGGTCACTCAATTCCGGGGAAGAGCAAGGATTTAGGGAGCAAACATCAGGGGAAAATAGGTCACAGCAGGAGGATGGTAATCTCCCCACGTGGCTGGCCCTTGCTACTAGAAGTAGGCTTCTCTTGGCCACCCGTGAAGAGTGGCTCCGGGAAGACTTTTGGGGTCTAGAGCCCCAGCACCATCCCTCCCAACAATGTGCGCAGGCTGAGGGGGCTGCCCCAAGAAAATATATCCTCCACACTGGGGTCATTCTCAGCCGAGCTCTCGCTGACTGTAACATTTCTATGCTGCAGTTAGATATTCAATCAGGTACACTTTTTGTACCCAGCAAATACACTCTTTGTACACTCTTTGTGTGCTACAGACACAAAGAGGACCCTTGGGGAGTCCACAGATGGGAATTATGACCTGGACCTAGACATTAACAAAGCCAGTGCTATCAGTACTGAGACAGAAGAGAGCCCAGAGCTGTGTGGACCTGTAGGAGGCTGCTGATTCAGCTTGGAGTCGGGGTTAGAGAATATTTCCTGGAGGAGGTGGTGCTGAACAAGAAAGGAGTTTTCACCAGGAGAACATGGGGAGGGGTATTCTGAGCACAGGGAACAGATATACAAAGATTCAGAGGAATAAAAGGATGGCCTTTCCTACTGGAAAATTATGATGGTCAAAGGAGGGCAGATCTGGAGGGGGGGTTCTGAACTTTCTCTTTCAGGTTATGGGAAAAGATGGGTAATGCTGGCTGGGAGAGAGAAGTGGGGATAAAAGTACAGGCAAATGAAGCACAGGGGCAAAGATACAGCAGAAAGGGAGTTAATGGAGGCATCTGACCTAATCGAAATGGGAGGGTGTTAGGGAAGTATGTTAGGATGCAGTAGGGCTCCCACACATGTGGGTGGAGGTCTCTGGAAGCACTTGTCACCCTGGAGCTTCTGCAAGCGTCCTATCAGGCCAGATTCTGTCCTGGAACACAGCCTCCCAGTGTAGGCCTTTAGTGTAAATCTGGCCTGCAGAGACCTCGGTTCCCACCCCTCTCTCCCTCCCTCCCTACAGATTCCTTTGGGCCCCTCTCATAAAACCCTCTCCATCGCAGCCCCACCTTTCCCCAACCACTTGTGAGTCTCCATCCTTACCTCCTATTGCCCCTAGCATGCTTCTCCCCTGGCCCCAAGGCCTGGATAGGTGGATCACTCCTCTCCTCTGTGCTGCTACAGAGGGGAGTTGCAGGAGTAGACTGAATAAACTAGGCCGAGCTGACTTATGTAGGGCCTCCTAGACAATGAGAAGGAGCTTAATAGCAGGATCAGTTTTTCAATATAGAAAATGGAGAATAAAGGGGAGGGAGGGAGATTAGAAGGCAACGAGGAGGCCATGACAGTGCCCACTGTGGGCGGTAGCTAGGAATAGGGTCCTGGTGCTGGTGGTAGAAGCCTGATGGAAAGATGATCTCACCCTCTCTGAGACACCTCCTTTCCTCGGGATCTGCCCAGGCTGAATCTTGCTCTTCCTCTCCTCCGGATGGACAGGGGCACCTCATACCATGTACCCATTCCATGCTTCCAGAATGCCTTCTGGGATTGTTTTGACTTCACACTGCAGACCTCTTCTCAGTGAACAAGCTTGTGGGGAGCAGAGGCCAGTAGGACCCTCATTGTGACCCCAGTATCTGCAGCTCCAGGTCACATCAGTGACCTGAATGTAGATTCCAACAGGGGCTCCCCACCTTCTGGAACAGGCTCCCCTCAGATGGACCAGGACCCCAGGGGAGGAGAGGACTGAGCACTTATTCTGAGCTGTCTTGAAGGCTAAGGTGGTAGTTCAGCAGGGGAGGTGAGACAGCTAGGAGCCTGGAGGCTAGAATGAACCAGGGGACTGAGGGTGGCCATAGTGGGGAGCAGGGCGAGTCACTGCAGTGGGTGGAGTGCCCACTCACGGGGCCCCGAGGGGCGAGGCAGGGCTAGGAATATCAAGCAGGGAGGACAGACCATTAGAGCTCTTGGAACCTGCATGTAATGGAAAGCTTGGCACTGCCTTTGGGAAATGAGTGTTTGTAAGGAGAAAGATGGAGTCCCCTGTGGCAGCCTTAGGCCCTGCCCATTCTGTCTTAGGGAATCAGCTTCGGGAGGCCTCCATCTGAGTCAAGCAGTGAGCGGCCGGAAGAAAGGAAGAAGCTTAGTACAAATATAAATACTTTTAATGAAAGCTGAACGCACTCTTCAGAGCCTGGAGGGCAGCCACCAAGGCAGGGGTGGGGGCAGGGGCACTGCTACCCAACTCCAATGGCTAGGCCAGGGGCCCCAGGAGGCAAACAAATGCCAGAGCAGCCCCCAGCAGCAAGGGAGCAGGGGCTGGGGTCGGGGCGGATGCTGTCGCCCTCAGTGTCTCCTGGTTGACCTCGGGACCTGTGCCATGCTCCAGGACATGCACAGGGGCACCACACAGGGTGTGTAAGTTATCCGGGTTCTGGACCCTGCGAGCTTCTTGCTGTAGGGATTCCCACACAGCAGCCGCCTCCTTCGGGCAGCCTGACAGGACTTGAGAGGCGCAGGTGTGGAAGTCATTCCAAGACCTGTTAAGGGTGTGGGGTTAAGGGAATTAGGTGGGGCAAAGAGGCTTTGGAATGGGAAGAGGTTCGGGGATGGATGGTAAAGGTGGGGGGTGGGGGTGAGGGTCACGCCGCTGCCCTTGTACCTGCTCTTACCTGCAAATGGTCTCCAGCTCACCTCCTTGACCCATGCCGTCCCCCAAGCGGATGAGACACTCAGCAAAACCCTGATATATGTGGTCACAGTGGCCTGGGCCTCTGGCAGCTGCCTCCAGGGGAGATACAGGGACTGGGGGTGGGGGTGGAAAATAGTTAATAGGATGAGCTTGCCCAACCCCCAGGGGCTTGTTTACCCTGGCATGCTCTGGGGACGTGACTCAGCGTGAATGAGGTACCCCAGGGAAATAAGGGGTATATCTGGGGATCACCTGCCTGCTCCCTGTTCTAGGTGGGACCAAATAGAGTAAGTGTGGAGCAGGGTGCGGTAGGAGTCCTCAAGTTTCAGGGGTCAGTTCTTCCTCCCAGCTTCTGGGACCTCTGTAGCTCCAAATTGGATGAAAATGGTCCAAGTGAAGGAGCCAGGACAGGGCAAAGTAGGGCAGGGTTCAGGAACAAACTCCCCCTCCTTAGCACCGTGTCCAGGATCTATAGTCTAGACAAGCTCTGCTTTGCCTTTGCACCCCATTCCAAAGCAGGTATTATCAGATGGCTAGGGCAGGATAGAGGGTGTCAGGATCCAAGTCAGACCCTAACGGACCTCAGGGAATCCTAAGGCTGGTCTAGGAGTCTCCTCAAAGGCCAAGTCTTCCTTTATCAGAATGGGGGCTACAAAATTTTGAGGTCCTTCCCCCACAACCAGGGCTCAGTCCACACCTCTCTCTTTTTGGTTCTGAGGCCACTGGTACACATTATCCCCTCCCTGGAGCCCTTGCACCTCCCCACCATCCTGGTTCCCAGTACTCGGCAAGGCTGTGCCTCAGCTCCCATGCACCCAACCCAACCTGGTGAGAGGCTGTATGGCCCGGGCTGGTCCCATACACCTATAACTCACCGAATGGTGGTAACAGCAGCAGCAGCAGCAGCAGCCCCACCGTACAGGGCAGTTGCTGGCAGTGGCGACAGCAGCAGCAGCAGCAGTGCATCATCCCCGCCTGGGAGCCTAGTGCCAGAGAGCTACCAGCCTTAAGTGCAGCCCTTCAGCCCAGCCCCCAAAAGGAGGGACTCTGATTGGATGTGAGCTGGAGGCGGGGCTTCAAAGCCAGCAGGCAGCCACCACCAGTACTCAAATAGGCAAAGGAAAGGGACCTCACAGAGAGGAGTCAGGGTCCTGCTGAGCCCTGGGCGCTGGGCTCTCATCCCAAAGATGGAAAGGGGAGATCTAGGAAGGCAGTTGTGCAGATGAATGCAGGTGTCCAGGCCTCTGGGTTGGCCCTGACAAAGCTCTAAACAGGGAGAAGACGGAGGCCAGGGAACAGAGGGCAGTTATCAAAGTCACACCAAAGACACTAAAAGCACACATACTCCATTTTATTCCAAAAGCATTTAATTAAATTTCTCAATGTTTTCAAAAACAAAAAAGGTCCAAAACAGAGGTAAAAATAAACATGGAAAATTCAACTCAAGTGGTGTCACAATCTCGGGGGTCATGCTCCAGGCATGGCAGAACCCAAGAAGGCACAATACCCGCCCTGGGCCCAGCCTAAACCTGTTGGTTACCATAACCACAACCAGTGTTCCCCCCAAAACACCCCAGAGGTGGAAGCCTAAGCAGGTAATGGGTAGACATGATCCTGCTTTGGCCTGGCCTGTCTACTGGCCTTCAGTGCCACCCCACCCCTGGGCAAGGCAGGCTTAGCTAAGGGAGGCTGGGGGTCACAAGGCCATGCAGCATGAGGCTGAGACGCCGGGCTGCTTTGCCAAGTGAGTTGTGTGGTTCGGCCTGCAGGAACTGGAAGAGCTTCTGGCGCACCTGGGCCATGACGGAGCCCATGTGGTCCCGAGTGATAGGGTCACTGTGGTCCAGGTGCATCACAGCATCTTCTAGGTAGCTGGGGGTAGAGGAAAGGGACAGGCTACAGGTGGGCTCCAGCAGATGGGAGCGCCCCCTGGTGGAACTGAGGCCCAGAGGAACAGCTGACAAAGGAGGCCTCTGAGCCAGAGATGGATGGGGGAACTGGTGGAATTAGGGAAGGAGTCAGGCTAGGGTGGGAGTCTTTGCTTTGAACTGCTCCCTTACCTCTGCCCCAGCCCATCTTCTGGTGCAACTGTACCCACTCACCTGAGCTTGAGGTCAGTTCGGGTGCCAAGGTCAGAGGCCAGCTGCTGGATGAGGGAAAGAAGCACGGGCTGGGAGAGTGGGCAGGGGGGCTGCCCAAAAACCTGGCCTGGATCCACAGTTTCACACACGTACAGCACCAGGTTCAAGTCGGCAGCTGTCAGGGCCTGGGTAGAGGATAGCATTTAGTGTGTGGATTTTGTCGGGAGGCACCTGAGTCTTAACTGGGCCTGGCATACCTGCTGGAAGGCCTGATTGAGGTGGCCCTGCTGCAGCAGCTGCAGGATATGGGCTTGCTGGGCCTGGCAGTCCAGATGAGCAGCAGGGACAGGTGTGCCAGCAGCTGAGCGCATGGCTTGCATGATGCTAGAGGTGACAGCAGCCTGCTGCTCCTTGAGTGCCACACTCACCTCACCCTTAACAATGCGTTGCACCTGTGCTAAAATGGACTCCTGCAGGCTGCAAAGGGAAACAAGATAGATGAGGTAGATGGGGAGTCTGGTGTGACCTTTTCCAAACCCACCACCTCACCCAGTATCCTGCCCACACACCTGCCCACTGCCAAGTGCAGCTGGTGCTGCACCTCAGCCCGAACACTGCTGGACACAGTGGCTGCCATCTGCTCGGTGGCACCCTGCAGCGTGCTGACCAGGCCCCGAAGCTGGGCCAACACAGGCTCCCGTGCCTCCTGCTCTCGTGCCTTCCGGCTCTTCATGTGGCTCTCTAGCTGTTGCAAGTCTGAAAGGTGACCACAGGGGCCATAAGGATGCTGAGGGATAAGAGGACAGCCCCTCCGCCTTGGAGTATTGGACCCCACTCACATTCCTGTGTGCCCAGTCGGAAGCTATCATTGATCTGCTGGAACATGGCCTGGCAGCTCTTCTCAAAGGCAGGCAGCACCACACTCTGGAAGGCTTCACGGTAGGCAGCCTGCATTGGTCCCTGTAACGTGTCTGCAGCTGCTCGGGCAATGGCATCTGTCAAGTTCTGGGGGTAAAGGGAAGGGCCGAACCAAAAGCCTGAGTCTAAGCTGGTGTGATCAAGTCCACCAACCACCAACCTCCCTCCTCTTTGGCCCTATAGCACCTTGGATTTCAGCAGCTTGGAGATATTCTCTTTCATGCTACCTTCCACAGCTGTGAGCTTGGTGGCCACTGAGGTGCTCAGTTGGCCTGCCACAGGCTCTAGACTCCTAGAGACACCTGGGGCAAGGTGAGGAGGGAGAGGTGGAGCCATGAGAGAAAGCTTGACAGGTAGGGGCCCCACTCCCACCCAGCCCACCCAGAGAAGTCTCATGCAAAACTCACATGGAGGCACCGTCTTCTTGATCTCGTCCCGTATGCTGCGCTCCAGCCGCCCAGCCACAGCTGAAGACAGTGCCTGGGACATCTGTTGTGTCAGCTGTTCCTGCAGCTGACCACCCCGTTGCTGCCCCTCCGCCAATGCCCGTTCTAGCCGCCGCTCTGTGTGGTAGCTAAGGAACAGACCTGGAGCAGCTCCCGTGTCCCTTCTCAGTCCAAGAATGCTGTAGCTGCCTCTCACCCTCCTCCACGCTGGGCCACTGCCCACAAGGATACGTTCCTGTTCATGCCGAGACTCTAGGGCACGCTCTACGTGGCCCGTGACGGTGCTCTGCAGGCCTTCAAGCTGGCTGCATAGGCGCTGCAGCAGCTCTTCTTGGCTGTGTCGCAACTCCAACAGCTCTCTCTGCTGTTGCCAGATTAGTGCTGGCCAGTCCTCAGAGGGCTCTGCCACCTGCCAGTAGCACCGACAGTCGCATCATACCTGCCCTACCTGTCCCCACACACCAGACCAGGGAATGGCCCAGATCTCTCCCCCACCCTCTGAAAGGAGTCCTAGAAGTAGAAAGGGTGTTTGCTCACTCACCTGGCGCTCCGTGAGCCGGGATTCCATAGCTGAATCCCTGCCATAGGCGAGAAGCACCTCAGGCCACGTCATGCAGGCAGCCTGGAGACCACCCCTCTCCCTGGCCCCAGGACCCGTCCTACCCATCATCTTTTTTGCCCTTCTTCTTGAGCTTGGGTGAGGTCCGAGGGGATCCCTTAGTCTTCCAGTCCTTGGCGGGCAGCCGTGGAGTGGGAACTTTGGTGCCAAAGCCCCCCGCAGCAGAGGCGAGGCTGGCCACTTCATCGTCATGGTCACTGTGGGAAGGAGGAGAGGCGTAAGCGCCTACCACTTGCTGGCCTGCCCTTGTGAGAGAACAGCACCTACCTTTGTTCAGCACTGGCATCCTGGCTGTCATGTTGTTGTAGCAAGTGATAAGGTGGTCGGTGGAAGGCCAGGCTCTTGTGTTTTTCCTGTAGGCCATTCCTGGGGCTGGGAGGATGGCTGACTCAGCAATGGATGACTCCACCTGAAGCCCCTACCATCAGGGCACTTTCCCCCTCCCACGCTCCTCACCTTTCTGTGAGGCTGCTGCATGTCTCCCGAGTAATGTCTGGTGCTGTAGGCCAGACCTGGCTGTCAGGGGCTGTGGCCTCCTGGGTCAAGGCGGCCTCCAGGAGGGAGGGAGTACTATGCCGATCCCCGTCCCCAGGGCCTCCATCCAGGCTAAGCTGGGAGCCGAGCTCAGGCCCTGGCCGGGGCCGCGGGGACAGCAGGTGTAGTGCTGAGGCAGCTGAGGCCATACTGTTTGGCTCAAGGTCCTCAGAAGCAGAGGCACCAAAGCCACGGGACAGGGCCTCAGATGCTATCTCAGGGATGTCCTGGGACAGGGCAGTGGAAGCCGAAGAGATAACATCGGGGGAGCGGGTACGGCTGGGGGAAGCCTGGCGCAGCCCCAGGGTCTCCACTTCCTGCAGCTCCAGGGAGAGTGCAGAGGCAGCACTAGGTACCTGAGGTAGGTCAAAATGGGGACTTAGGTGGAGGGAAACAGGTGTAGGGGGAGCACAGAGACGAAGTACTGGTATTTGTAATGACGAGAGATGCAACAGTGGGGAAAGGGGATGCAATCAAGAACAGCCACAGCTCAGGAGAGGAGGTGGGAATGGACAGGCTGAGGAGCTGTCCTCCAGGGAATGTGGGAAGCTGAGATGACCTCAAGGGAAACATGGGCCACCATAGGCAGAACAGGACAAACAGACAGGGTGCTAGAGAAGAAGACTGCTGCCAACCTTCCCACTGCTATGCACCTGCTAACCTGAATTTCACACACACGCACCTGCCCAGGCCCTTTGGGAGTTAATTTGTCAGCTGGACCTGGGAGCAGGCCAGGCAGGAGGCTGCGTGGGCTTGCCTGCAGGCTGTTGCCACTGTTCATTGTCAGGCTGCCATCCAGCTGCAGCTTGGGGCTCAAGGTCAGCTCCTCAGATGGCCTGGTGACAAGAAGGCTGAGGTATAAGCAGCCAGAGCTTGGCATCACCTGGCACCAGCCCCTGCCCGACCCCAACGCTGATCCTCACTTCACCTGGGCAAGGGGGGGTCCACAGCTGAGGTACTACTCATGGCTGATACTGCTGTGAGAGAGGAGCTGCTGCTGCCGCTACTGCTGCTGCTGCTGCTGCTGCTACTACTAGGGGAGGCAGCAATCTGGGGAGATGCAGAGTGAGAGCTGTAGCCTATGGGTAGGAATTCCCAGGTCCCACTGCCCTGAGCCCGAGCCCCAGCCCCAGCACACCTGCTGCAGGGAGGTGCTAGGTGTCATGAAGGCGTCAGGTGTCATCAGCTTGGGCTTCGTCGTCTCACTGCTCAGATTAAGGAAGTCAGCAGGGGCAGGTAACTCCACGATACGTCGGACATCAGGCTGGGAGCCGTGAGTAGCTGAACCCAGACCCTCAGAGCCCAGTTCGGGCCGAGATTCTCCAAATGCTGTGGGGAAATCTGCCACTTCAGTCAAACTAGACCCTGGTCAATCTAAACTGCTCTCCCCTCACCCCTCACTCACCGAAGTCCTCATGGGCAGTGTGAGTGGGGAGCGGGGCGACCACATCAGGGTTCAGCTGCGGCTGGAAGCGGATCTGCACATCTTGCAGTGCCCTTTAGGAAGAGTAGGAGAATAGGAGAGAGCTCGAAGGGGCCAGTTGGTAGTGTGGGGAGGAGCACAGACAGGGCACACTCACTTAGTATGCACGCAAAAGAGCTTGATGAGCACACCAGCTGCAGACTCCATGGCACCAGCTCCGTGGTTCCCATCTGCAAGGACAATGTGGACGACTAAGCCCCTGGCCCTGTGTCTTGGCACTCCCTACATACCAATGTATAGCCCCGATTCTGAGCAGCTCACCGGCCCCTAGGCTGTCATTCTCTTCCTCAGCAGGCAGCACCTCAGTGTGCCTCAGCCGGCAGCGAGTCACAACCTGGATACCAAAGCTCAATACAGGGTGGGTGAGTAGGAACTCAGAGATGGAACTGAAGCAGGCACGGCCTTCCTCCTGGTTCTGCAGCAGCTCCATCACATAAAGGACCTGCACAGGCAGTGCATTCACAGCTGAGCTCACAGGCTGTGAGGGCTGTGGATGTGCCACACACATCTCTGCCTTTCCCAGTAACACCAAGTCTGACTGGGGTGCCCCCCAATGCAGTCTACCTTTCGCTGCACATCGCTGAGAATCAGATATTCTGCTGAGAGGTCCAGGCAAACTTTGAGGCTGGGTGGCACACTCACTGAGCTGAAGATATCTGGGGAGAAGCTAGGAGGCCACAAAGCAGAATGAATGAGACTAAGAGAGAGGAAAGAACCCATATTCCCAACACTGCTTACCCCCATCTGCTCCCCAGCCTATGCTTACCTAATGGTCTGCAGGCAGGTCCAGGACACCGTGCACCACATCTTTAGCTCCTGATTCTGGTCAGCACCAGTAATGAGGAACCTCCAGAAAGGGACCCTACAAAGCAACAAGACACTGAGTGATTGGCGGGGAGCCTAAGGTCCAGCCCGCCGCCCACCTGCCTGCCCACTCACTCACTCAGGGTCCTGTTTCTTATGGTTATCACAGAACAGGAGGCAGGAGAGAGGCCGCCCATCATGAGGCTTCAACTCATGTAGACACCTGCAAGCAGGCAGATGAGGAGCCTGAGTGGGTGATCTAGTCCCCTACCTGGGGTTCCCAGTCCCTCAGGCCCCGTCTTACCTTGGCTCATCCTGCCCCTCAATGTAGATCTGCCAGAACTTGACAAAGCCATCATGGCTTGCTGTAGCCAGGACAGTCCCATCAGGTGAGAGGGCCCCTTCACTCAGGTACTGGGAAGAACCCAAAGAGCCTTGCTTTTCCACCAGATTAGAGGTGGGAGCAAGCCCATCTCAGATGAGAATGACAGTGCACTGGGCTGACCCACAGTGGATCCACACATGAGTGTGAAAGACTAAACGAATGGGAGCCAGAGAGAAGACCAGGCCATTATAGCCACACAGGCGTGAGCCCCACAGGTGGAGGTCAATTTGTGATCCAAGTCCCAGTGGACAGGACGCCAGTAAAGCTACCCGAGCAGCTCTAGGTATGGGGAATAGAGGAGGGACACAAGTAAAGGGGAAGAGCAAGGAAGGAATTCAGCTGCAGGCTTACTGTGCTGTGGCCTTTTACCATGATGAAGCCCTGCTTGATCTGGCTGACATCCACAGGCCAGGTGCTGTGGTTGGAGCGGAGCATGTCCAGGTTCCACACCTCAGCCTGGAAGGTACAGCGAGGTGAGCGTTCAGCTCATGCCCACACCTTGGCTGCTCTGACCACCCCCTCCCCCTATGCCCAGCCTCCTCACCCTGTCCTCATGCAAAAGGGCCACCATTGGGCTACCCTCCTCACAACACTCTTCACTCTCCTCGGGAATGAATGGGCACCAGATGATCCTACGAAAGTGATTCAGCGGCGTACCCTCTGGCTGCCGGATGTGGACCAGAATCTCTTCTCTGAACAGGGCGTTAAGGGCTAACCAGGTAGATGATGAGCTCTGCCCACCTTTCCTCAGTCCCCCATCCCATCCCATCCCATCCCCAGAAAAGGATACTGAATTTTGCCATTAACCAGAGCCAAGTGCCACACAAACAAATTGCCTGCCTCATCCAGGCAGGCCAGCTGTGGGGAATTGACGTGTGCGAAGGCCAGGTCAGCCACACTGCCCGTGAAGCCCTTGAGCAGGGTCCGCTCCGAAGTGCTGACACTGATCACCCTCACCATTGCTGAGCCATTGTTGGCAGCTGGAATCAGGGCAGTGGTTGGCTGTGAGTGGGTGTCTAGGCCCAGGCAGCAGCAGAGAAGCCCTGCCCTTGCCTGCCTCACAGCCACCACCAGCCTCAAGCCTGGTTTTCCCACTTGGCCAGCCAAGGCCTGGCAGAGCTGGGAGCAACACAGACAAGCTTTATATTGCATCCTCAAGGTCTGAGTGGGCTGAGAGCCCTTACACTCAACCTGGGTCTCTGGGGCTTCTCACAGAACACCTCCCTCCTGTCCCCTGCCCCAACTCACCCCGAATGGCATAAGCCAAGAAGGAATTAGACACAGCAATCAGGTTGCCATAGTAGTATTTCTGCTCCCAGTCATACTTGGCAACGGGCTGGATTTTCACCTGAGAACCAAGGGTGAGGAAGGTTGTAGAAGCTGAGGGCTGGGGCAGCTTTCCTGGAGTTTAAATGATCCCCAGCATCCCTGGGGACAGTAGAGGCCACATATGCAAGCCCAGTCACCCAATCACAACTCCTGGTGCCAGATTCCCACACAGATTTGGTAGCAAACCCTGGCTTCCTGAGACGGGGCACACTAGTTGTTGGTTAAGGTGGTCCCCATAGGAACTGGCAGCATGGGAGAGGTTGTGTGTCCCCATTCACCATATACAACATCTTGGTACTCACCTTGTTGCTCCCCCGTGCCTTGCTCGAGATGCTAGAGTCACTGCTGGCCACAATTTCTACCTCTTTGGCCGAGATCCCAATGCAGGTAGAGCTGTCATCTCCCGAGAGGCAGCTGCAGGGAGGGGTGCACAAGCTTAACTCTTTTTCACCCTAAGTCTCAATGGGCAGGGTTGGAATAAGGAGAGGATACAACCACCATAGGGCGGGTGTCCAATCCCAATACACAGTTCTGGGTGCACTGGTCCCCAGACCCACAGCTTCCCTTGCTCACCTCCCTCCTTGAGAATGCTAAATAAAGTGCTTAAACATCAGATCTGGGCCAAGCCCTTCAGCTTGCACTCACCCCTCATCCCAGTGCAAGCTCAGTGTGGTTAAAATGCTACGACCCAGGACATCTAGTAAGGGAGCAGTAGAGGCTGCTGGCCCTTCTCTCCCCTCATCTCATGCCTTTAGCTAGCAAACACCCCAAACACCCCATCACCGCCACTGTTATGTCCCAGGCACTCACATGACCTGCTTCTCCTGCAGGTTAATAGATGGCTTGGCCCGGAGACCAGGCTTGTTTGCCGAAGTACCATCACCTGAGCAGAGAGGGTCTGGAACCAGGAGCCCATTGAGGTCCCCATTGTAGGTGTTAGATGGCCTCTGGCTGTCTGCACTGGGGCCTGGGGGCAGAGAGGGCCACTGTCTGAGGTTGTTCCACCTGCCCACGAGCCTCTCCTAATGCAGAGCTTCCCTTCAGAATCATGAGGCACTCCAGCAACACTCAAATGAGGCCTGTCTGTGGGAAGGATGGCCCTTTGTTCATCTCTAATATTCCATACACACTGATGGTGGACCCACTGTACGCCAGGACCAAGGAGAAGCATGAGGCTCTTCTATCTCGGAGAGGAGTGCAAGCTATCAAGGATTCTCTGAAGCCAATTAATACTCAGGCCCAGGTCAGCACAGAGGGACTCTGTGTACTTAAGAGAGAGCATGGGAAGGGTCAGGACAGACTTCACAGAAGAGTCACCACCATCAAAGCCACTGTAGCTAGAACACACAAACATGGGAAAGATGAAGGGAAAATAAGGCTGCAGAGGTCTCAGGTATGAGACTGGGGTGCTTAGGTTCTCCAGGAAGCAATGAGAGCCACGGAAGAGTTTTAAAAGGGAAGATAGCATGGTCAGCACTGGCCAGAGGGCTGATTGCTCTAAGGCAGCCTGAAGGATAGTTGAGAATCTGGGTGAGAGATACAAGGGCCTAGATCAAGGTAGTGGCAGGGCTGGAGAAGAAAGAGTGGGCTTCTAAGGCATGGTCAAGGACACTGATAAGATGTGGGAGTAAGGAAGAAAGGCACCTGCCCCACAGAGAAATGGCTCAGAAGATGCCACCTTGGGAGGGTAAACTCAGAATGAGTGGACATGAAGGATCTGGACAAAGAAGAGAACATATGGGGTAGTGTGTGGAGTCAGGAAAGACAGCATTTCAGTTTGCCATTCACTGAGTTTCAAGCACCCTTATAGGCTCAGACAGTACTCCAAAACTCCCAGGTTGCAAGGAGACTAGGGCTCCACATTAAGGATCACATTAAATTTTCCTAGGCACAAAAGCCTGGGGTCTGACACAGTCCACCAGTGAGAGGAGACAAGCCAGAGCTCCCTGGCAAACAGAAGAATCAAGTATCAGTCAATAAACGAAGAGTTCAGAGGAAAGCCTCCAGGCCACGTCACTTGGATCAGAGCCACCTTAGCTACTCCGGGGTAAGCTGACCACTCTCCCTCCCAGGAAGGCTACCATGAAGACAAACAACGGCACAAGGTTGGCCGTGTCAGGCTCTATCAAACCTTTGTGGATTCTAGTCTACGTAGCAGCTGATGAGCAGGAGAGGCCCAAGCCTCTCACATGAGTGAAAAGGAGCACACTCCAGGCCTGTGGCAAAGAGTCAGTGGTTTCAAGTAGTAGAAGATGAATTTTTTCAGGGAATAGTTAACCCCACCCAGAGTGAGAACCAGTGCCAGTTTCCAGCAGCAGCCAGTTGGGATCTCCCAGCAGGTTGAAGAACAGGGCCTGAGGAAATACCAGTTCTCTCAGCTCTGGCCCCTGCACACCTAAACCACCATCACCCACTGGCCTTTCAACCACTGCAACTTTTCTCGGGTCCCTGAACCAGCTGGGAACTTTTGGTACCTTCACCCATGCTATTTCAGCTTTGTTAATGCTTTTCTAACACCCAACTCCTGTTCATATTACAAGAACTACCCTGAACATTGTCTCCTTTCTCAGACCTGTTCTCCAGCACTGTCCAGTCCCCATCCCACCTGCCCTGTCCCCAACAAAATGCCAAAGCACTCGTCTCGGTCATGTCAACAGTTACATTACAACGTCCTTAGGTTCCTTGAGGGTAGGAGCAGCTGAGGTATCACTGCAAGCCCAAATAAAGTTTAAACGAATGGAAATAAACTTTGTTTTGCAGATGTTTTGTCTAATCCAATCAGGGCCTTGCAGTCTGTGATTTGCCTTAATCCCAGTAAGGGCGTGGGATTGGGGGTGGACACTTCCCTCCAGAAAAATAGTTTCAAGAATCACGCTTGGAATTTGTGTTCTCGAGGGAAGGGCAAGTTGCAGAGGCGGATCCGCAGCTTCTCAGCCCAGCGCCTAGGTCTAGATACAGAACTCAGAATACAGAGCACCGAATAGGCCTCTGAAGTATGGCAAACGGGTTGCGAACCCAGACACTAGAGACAGAAACACTAGAGACCTTGGGGTCAGGCCACCAGCGGAGCCATGCATTCGGCGAGGGAGCCTCACCTTCAGCTGAGACGCTGAAGGACGACGAGGCAGAACGTCCCGGCGATAGAATGGGGAGGGATCGCACCGGGGGTCTGCGCCCTTCCGGTAACATGCTCAGGGAGTTACTGCTCTAACCCTCTTCTGCCCTCACCAGCCGGGAGGATGCAAAGCAGGAGGGACCTGGGGGTACTGAGGGCGACCCTGACCCGAGCCGCTCCTCTGCCTGCTCAGCAAGGGCCCACCCTCGCTGTCCCGGCTCACCTCCCGCGGGCCGGTCCAGCTTGAGGATGTCCCGTAGGTGCTGCGTGGCGTCCTCGATGTCGATGCTCGCGCAGGAGGCCATGGGCCCAGCCGCAGACGCTCTGTCCGCGCCGCGTTCGTTTCGCTGACGCCGCGCACCAGCCGAGCACAGCCGCGCCGGGACCAGAGACGGGACGCGGGTCACTACAATCAGCCCACCCGGAGCCCACAAACCGCCGTCCGCACCGCGTCCCTAAACCCCCCCACCACAACTAACCGCCTTCACTTCCGGCCCGCTGAGCCTCGGCTCCCGGAACCTGCACGGACCGGAGAAGAAAGGTTCCGCGCTGAGGGAGAACGCCTTGCTTGTCCTGGAGCCCGTCTCCTTCTGCTACCCCACCCCCGTGCCAGCGAAGTCCGATGAGTTTCACAAGACCGAGGCAAAGCAAATGTCCATGTACTGGACCGCGCAAAGCGATACTAGCCTCAGAATACCCCGCCCGTCCATGCCCACTCCCAAGGCAAGGTCTCTTGATGGGCCTAGAACCCGGTCTACTCGGCCACCCAGGCTGTTCTCAGACTCCTCCAGAAACAAGCTGAACTGGCAGGAGCCAGGGTTACTCTTTAGGAAATAGGTCAGTGTAACCCAAATTCCTGAGGGGACCCACGATGTCAGAAGGTCCAGGAATTGCAAGGTCATGAGAGCTAACCCCTTCAAAAAGATCACATTGTTCTAACAGGCTTCCAACAACATCCGGATTGCCCAACCTAGTACCCTCAGGCAAGACGAAACAAACAACAGTTTACAAACACCTGTTTATTGCAGACATTTCAGGCACAGATACATGGAAAAAGCTGTATTGCAGATTTTATACAGGGTGGTTTTAAGAGGCAGCAGGCACCTACCTCTCTCCCCCACCCCCAACACACAGCAACCTAGATATCAGTCCCACTGAAATCTGCTCAATATGCTGTTCTATCAAACAGCGTATCATCCGGCCCTGTACCCAGTACAGCTAGGTAACCTCTAGGGGTCTGAGGAAGTCCTTGGCCTCCATCCATAGCTGAGGGAAAGGGGGGCACAGGTCAGGCATAGCTATGGTGCCCTCACCAGTCCTAAAATCCCTAACGGCACCAGCTGAAGCCCTGGGTTTGGTTTTAGCCTGTGGTTGCTACCTTGCCACCAGGTTTACACCACCAGGTCTCAGAGCTAAAGGGCTAGATTTGCCATAGGCAAGGCCTCTGTCCCCCCAAACTGAGGAGCATAAACTGTCCCAATAGTTAAGACTTCCTGGGATTTGAAGACAATGAGGTGTGTGGTTAGGAAGGGACTGGGAGGCCTAATGATGCCTTGCTGAGGTCTAAGAGGTGAGAAATCGTAAAGCACAAATCCCTCAAACTCAGATTGCCTTCTTTCGTAGCTCTCGATCTGTATTACAAACCACCAGGTCTGGATCTGTGGGTGTTGCAGGCTGGCTGTTCTGGGAACTTGCCTTTGAGCAAAGTTATCTATAAAGCAGGTGGTACAGGCTCTGAACTACCCTCTTCTTGGCTTGGTATTTGTGGGGTTCCCTCGGTGTTATCCTAACCCTTCTGGGGATAAAATAGGCCCCTCTCCCTCAAACCTTTGCTCAGAGGGCCTGGACCTGATGGGCCATTTTTGGCAAGGCCTCTCCATATTCAGTGGGATTCTGGGTCGTATGTCCTGTTACTAGGGCCCTGACCCTACCCAGTGTAGAGGTCACAGGAGGTGTCAGAACTGACTACAGAGGCTTCAGTGCAAGGGAAGCTTCAGGCCAGACTGTAGCTCTCTCTGTCTGCAGCTCACTTTCCCAAGACCAGGTGGGCTGGGGAGGGGAGCACTATGCCCTACCAGGCTTCTGAGAGAAGCTAGCTCAGAGTGCTGCTTCGGCAGTCTTCTCGCAATAGGCATTGCTGAGTTGGGGTAGAGGTGGAAGGGTGAGACATGAGAGAGCCAATTGGGCAAGGTAGTTATTGATGCCCAGCCAACTATTAAACTAATTAAAACGATTTAAACTGTTAAGAAAACTTTTGTGGTTTTATTGTATCATGAGGCATTGAAACATCTGAACAAATCAATGTCTGGGCGGTGAGGCAGCTGCTTTCTCCTTCACTTCTTTGGGTTACTAGAGCAACTTGAGCAACTTGTCAGTAGATTAAAAAAAAAAAAAAAAAAAAAGACAACCTTTTGCATTACTTAAGTCTTTCCAAGGCATGCGCTGGTACAACACAAACTTCTCCTGTCAGATGTAACTAGTCTAGTGTCCAAACATCATGCACAAAACCTAGGCGGCGGCGGCGCACTGCGCCCACTCCCACCATGGCCCTGCTCATTTGTGTATGATATTTGGAGCATCTGGAGGAGTGTGAATAGTATCAGGAAGAGAGGGAGGAGGAAACAGCATGAGTGCCTGGCTGGGAGGAAGTCAGCCGAAGTTGTGCAGGGCAAGCCTGAACATGTCATTGGTGCAAACCCAAGCGTCGTTGATGTTCTTTAATAGGAACATCTGGTGGAACCCCATGATGGGGTCTTCATCGGCCTGTAAGGAAAGAAACACGATTCAGTGAGGGGCCCAGGGAATAGGAAGGGAGTTCAGTGGTAGGGTCACTGGGCAAAGAATGCTGACTTTGGGATCAGGCTCTATTGTCTTGGACTCAAATCCTAGTACAGACAAGGGATACTTGTGACTGTGAATTGATTAATGTATGAAACACTACACTGGGCACACAGGAGCCTACAGACAGCACTCATGCCGCTATATGCACTTAAAAGTGCAGAACAATTCACCTAAATAGATACACCTAAAGAGCAGAGAACGTACCTGCCTCTAAGCCCATGCCTCTGGCCACAAGTAACCAGTTTGAGAGTTCTGCATGCTCGTCTTGTAAAAACTAAACACTCTTTTAATCCTTATCCGAAGGTTTGATTTTTTTCATTGATTTTAGAGAGGGAGAAACATCGACATGAGAGAGAAACATTGATTGGTTGCCTCCCTACACACTCTGATGGGGACTGAGTCCAAAACTTAGGTTGCTCCACAATGGCAACCTTCCCCTGACAAGGAACCAAACCCACAACCTTTTGGTATATGGGACAGCGCTTCAAGTAACTGAGCCACACAGCCAGGGCAAAAACCAAACACTCTTTGTGTATGATTATGCCAGTTAATCCAATCAAGACAAGCAATTGCTAAATGCTGAGTGTGGCCAAACATGTGAGAAATGGCTCAAAACCCAGTTCACACTGAGATCACAGCTCTGCAGGGGAAACACACAAGCCTTGTCATCAGGTGATCCACTGAAAAAAGGAAAGAAAGAGACCTCCACTCCAGTCAAACTGCAGACCGGGATGGGGTAGGAGGTGTCTCTAATAACACCGGTGTTTCTGGGAGTTATTATCAGCAAGGAAACAAATCACTCTTTTGAGGACTCCGAGCTGGGACAGAAACAGAAGAACCTGAAGCCACGTGGGAAAGGGCACTGCGTACTGAGCCCAGCCTGGCAAAGTGGGCACTGAGCACTGTGGAGAGACCTCCTCATTCCCAAGGGGCAAGGCATTGTGGACAGGCAGGAGACGCTGACAGCGAAGTACAGGCCACAAGTAAGGTCCCTCTGAGTCTGATGCACAGCCTTGAGCACTCCCTCAACCCCGGTATTAGACTAAGGAAGCCCTGCCTGGCGTAGGGAGAAGGCCTGCTAGTCTGAGACCTTCTACCGGGACACATCCCAGGAGGCTGGGACCCTGTCATGGAGCAGCCAATTCTTCTGCTTTGGGGAGGACAGGTTTTCTGGAAACCAAAAATTTGGCTTCAGTCTGCTGAAGCACAACAGGTAGGAGTTCATGGGAGAATTCACGGGGGGTGGGGTGGGGACAGAGGTGCTGAGAGGTCACAAAAAGCCTTTGAAGATGACAGGCCTCGAGAAGAAGAAAAAATGTGGAGAGAAGCAGTTCTGGGAATTTGTTCCGCTCAGCAGCCAGCTCAGGGAGCGGCAGCACGGGCTCCAGGAGGGCATGTCCAAGGTCAATGCCTACAGAAGGCTCACCTACACCTTCAGGTGGTATCATGGCCCAGTCACCTGGCACCACAGACTCATCTTGCTCCTACACCTTTTTTCCCTTTACCAAAAAGGATCTAAACCTGTGCTCTCTGCTAGAACTTTCCTCAGTAACAGAAATGGTCTATGTCTGTGCTGTCCAATAGGCAGCCACCAGTGACTGAGAACCTGAAAGAAATATGGCTAGTATAACTGAGGAACCACATTTTATTTCATTTTAATTAATGTAATAAAAAATTACCACATGTAGCTGGCTGCTATATTGAACTACAGCTCTAAATAGTCTCTTGGGTGTCCCTGGATAAGCAGGTCACATCACAGGGATGGCAGGGGCACAGGGCTGCCCTCTTCTCCCTAGCAGCACTATTACCTTAAGCTGGCCCACAACCATGCTGATGATGCAGCTATCTGGCGTGGGCTGATGGTCCTGCGCCGTGATGCTGTGCTGGATTTTCTGGAACGGAAGGCTCTGCAAGAGAAAGAATGGGTAGTGGGCTGCAGCCAGCAGGGAAGGAGCTGCCTGCAGCCCTGCCCTGGCCCTTACTTACAGACAACTTCTCCACAATGGCAGCTTTCCCCTGGAATTGCTGTCCTTCCCACGTAAGGCATGATGCGTCAATCTGAAAACCAGGAAACTTGGGGTCAGGGCCTCAGAGCACCAAAAGGATCTCTGAGGTCCTGAAAAGACCCCTAAAAAGAATCTCTCCTGAGGAAGTAAGTCCATGCCTCGATTTCCCTGTCTGTAAAGGAGGGAACTGAGGATGACTTCCAAACTTCACAATACTAACAATTTCTTTAATTATACCCCACTGTCCGAGAGCTCAGGCTCTGAAAAATTAACATAATGTAAATTTATTAAATAAGTCCAACTCCCAGTTTTTTGGGTTTTTTTTAAATATTTTATTTTTTCGAGAGAGGGGAAGGGAAGGAGAAAGAGTGGGAGAGAAATATCAATGTATGGTTGCCTCTCATGTGTTCCCTGCTGGGAACTGGCCTGCAACCCAGGCATGTGCCCTGACTGGGAATCGAACCGCGACACTCTGGTTCACAGGCCTGCGCTCAATCCACTGAGCTACACCAGCCAGGGCCCAGTTTTTTTTTTTCCAAGAAGTCATATAGCCCCGGCTGGTGTGGCCAGTGAATTAAGTGGCAGCCTGTGAACCAAACCAAAAGGTCATTTGAGTGGCAGCCTGTGAACTGAACCAAAAGGTCACCACTTGGATCCTCAGCCAGGGCACATGCCTGGGTTGTGGGCCAGGTACCCAGCTTAGGGCATGAGAGAGGCAACTGATTGATGTTTCTCTTCCTCTTTCTCCCTCCCTTCCCCTCTAAAACCAAATAAATAAATTCTTTTTTTTAAAGATTTTTATTTATTTATCTTTAGAGGGGAAGGGAAGGAGAGAGGGAGAGAAATATCAATGTATGGTTGCCTTTCATGCATCCCCTGCTGGGAACTGTCCTGCAGGGAACTGGTTTGCAACCCAGGAATATGCCCTGACTGGGAATCGAACCTTGATCCTCTGGTTCGCAGGCCTGTGCTCAATCCACTGAGCTACACCAGCCAGGGCTAAAATAAATAAAATCTTAAAAAAAGAAAAAAGTCATACAATGAGGAGGGGTTTTAAGTAACACTGAGACACGGTTATGGGTTTAACTGTGTTCTCCCAAATTCACATGAAGTCCTGATCCTGCCGTACTGCCCGATGTGACAGTATTTGGAGAGTGGGCCTTTAAAAGAAGAGATCAGAGTCAAGCGTGGCCATGAGGCTGGCCCCCAGCCCAACAGGACTGGCACCCCTGTAAGAAGAGCAGATGAGGGACACGGACAAGCACCGAGGGGAGGCCGTGTGCAGACGCTGGACGGTGACGGCTGTTTAAGAGTCAAGAAGAGACACCTCAGAAGAAACCGACCCTGCTGACACCTCAATCTCAGAACTGTAGCCTCCAGAACTGTGAGAAAGTAAATCTTTCTTTAAGGGGAAAAAAAAAGTCTTCTGACCTCTGATATGCACGAGCCCCAGGCTGGCCGTATGTGGCCAAGGCTTGGCCAAAGCCATCCAGCTGTGTGGTCAGCCGGCAACAGTCCCGGAGCAGTCAGAAACAACTGGGGAACAGCCTACGTTCATCACTAACTATCCAGCCTGGGCGGAGTTCCACTGAGGCCCTTTCCAGGGGGATGCCATGGGGTCAGGGAGAGATGGAAGCTGACAAAGCCTCCCTTGGGGGCTTGCCCCCCCCCTCCAGATCTTCCCTTCGACAGCCACCAGGGGCAAACCTCCGAAGTGCCTCTGCTACTCAACAACTGTGACATTAAGCAAGTGACTTATTTTTCTGAGTCTCAGTTTCCTGATATTCAAAGGGAACATGAGCTGAGGATTATGTAAAATGAGATACACGAAGTGTTCTTTTAGAACTTCACTAACTCTATTCTCTGGGGTAGGCCTGCTTTAATTGACATTAAGAAGCAACACGGCTCTGGCTGGTGTGGCTCAGTGGATTGAGAGCTGGCCTGCAATCCAAAAGGGTCACTGGTTTGATTCCCAGTCAGGGTACATTCCCGAGTTGTGGGCCAGGCCCCCAGTTGGGGGCACACGAGAGGCAACTTCACATTGATGTTTCTCTCCCCTCTCTTTCTTCTTCCTTTCCCCTCTCTGAAAATAAATAAAATCTTAAAAAAAAAAAGCAAAAGCAACAGGGTGCTCTAACTGATATGGCTCAGTGGATTGGGTGTTGGCCTGCAAACCAAAAGGTTGCCAGTTCAATTCCTGGGCAAGGCACACGCCTGGGTTGAGGGCCAGGTTCCTGGTTGAGGGCATGTGAAAGGCAACAAATCAGTGTTTCTCTTGCACATCGATGTTTCTCTCCCTCTTTCTCCTTCCCCTCTAAAAATTAAATCGTTTTAAAAACAGCAAAAGCACAGCAGAAGCAACAAGGCAAAAACGCTGGGATCCCAGAATCAAATCAGTTCAAGTTTTAAAAATTCTCAATCTGCCCTGGCTGGACAGCTCAGCTGGTTAGAGCATCATTTGGATACGCCAGGGTGGCGGGTTCAATCCCTGGTTAGGGTACATACAAGAAACAAAAACAAGCCCTGGGTGCTGTGGCTCAGTGGACTGAACACCAGCCTGTAAACCAAAAGAAACAAAAACAAAACAAAATTCTTGATCTCTGATAGTGACAATCAAATAGCACTTGTGCTGGATTTGGCCCTCTGCCTGCACGGAGGGGTTTCTCAAAGGCATACCAGCCTTCCTGGGCTAACCCTATTTGTTTCCCATGAGTACTAAGGGGCCTTTGACTCCCCTTAAAAGAAGCCAGACCTGGGGCCTCCAGGAGAGCGCAGCTTTGCAATGATGATGCGCATGAGCTGCCTCCAGAGGGCACCATGAGCCCTAGCCTCCGCCTGCTGCTTCCCAATCTAGAACACTGGCACGTCCGGAATCCTGGATGGCCAGCCCAGAACACCCTGCCCAGGGTAACAGAATTCCTACTCTTGCGGAACATGACAGAAGGAAATGTGTGAACCAGCTAGCAGGGTGAGACCTCAGGCTCCCTGTCCTGTGGACAGCTCAGACAGAAGGACGCAACCCAATTCAGTGAGGGCTGCCAGAACTTGTGAACTGGATAAAGTGGCCCAACACCAAACTAATCCCCTAGAGTCCCATTCTGGCCCTAGAGCTGCAGACTTACGTAAATTGCGCCTAGTTGGGTCCTGTCATTATCAAATAACTGGTAGTAATGTTGAATGAAGCTGGATCCAATCTGCTCCCAAATTGGCTTGTCTCCCATTCTGGAGCGTCACCCGGCCTCTTTGAGACCTGCAAGACCAGACAGGGAGGGGAAGTGTTGGTACTGTGGGAGGAGGAGGTAGCCAGCTGCTGCCTCTTCACTGACCCCACCCCACTCCATGGTCTCCCTGAGCAGGAAGTCCTTTGCTGAGTTCTGTTCATAGGGAACATGAAGAGGCCCCCGACAATTGGTAGAGACCCCTCCCAACACAGACCAGTGCAGGAAGCCCAGAAGTGGACCAGACACAGCCCCTCTTTTCAGGAGCTCTGGTTGAGGAGACAGAGAGGTACCAGGGTCATGGAGCACACATGATGGGTACTGAAGGAGGACCCAGGACAAAGGAAGGTCAGGGCAGGTCTCTCAAAGCCCAATAATGGGGTAAACCTTTAAGGAGGAGCTACCCCCCCCCCGTAGCTTTTCATTCAATCTTCTCAATGACCTGCAAGGCAAGAGTTGTTGCTATTCTTCCCACCCTGTGGGCCAGCAATAATTACTGGTGTCTATGTGTGAAGTGTCTTCTACAACGGAGGAACCCAAAAAAACCCCCAGAATTATCTTCTGGAGGGTGGGCCCCCTGTAGTATAGGCTTCCCAGCGAGGTGAGTGCTGTAGGAACCCATCTGTATCAGTGCGCCAGCTGGCGTTGTTGTGAGAGGCTACATTTGGCTTCAGTGAAAGATTCTTTCAATGTGTTTGTCTCTTTTTAATGATGGGTGATTTATGCGCATATCTGCCCACACTGTGGTGAGTGTTCAGCAGTTTTTCACCAAAACCTGCATGACCCCTGTGCCCCACCCTCCCTATTTACCCGATCTCACCACGAGCAATATTTTTTGGTTTCCCCAGGTGAAAAAAAATCCTCAAAGGGAAACAAACAAACAAACAAACAAAAACCAGCAGAAACACTAAAAGGCATCAAAATCAATGAGTTCAAAAACTGTTGTGAGCAGTGGGAAAAATGGCTTGATAGGTGTATTGCATCAAACAGACAGTACTTTGAAGGTGACTGAAGTTTAAACATGTAAGACTACATACATGATTTTTTATAAATAAATTCCAGGTTTTTTTGTCCCCCCCACCCTTGTATTACAGCCCTTGGGCCCTGTCTTCGTCCTGCTGGGACCCAGCCCTCAGCGCCTCAACACTGCCCCAGTGCTTTCTTGGCAGGTAGAGGAAGACCCAGAGAAAGTTGGAGGAGGTGGCTCCTCAAGGCTCCATCTGCTACAAAAACAGCAAATGACAACCACTTCCCTGTAGTCTTAAGGGGGCAGTTTACATTTTTAAGGTGAGTAATGCCTGGCCCTTTCTGGAGCCTTTCTTCACCAATGGCAGTGCCCCCACCTTTTTCAGGGACAGGGACAAGTTCAGGTGATCACAAAATAATAGATGAGAGATGTGGGGAGGGAGCCACGAGGAGGAGACACTTCATCTCGCCACATCCCCCAACCCTCAGCACTGCTTCTGCTGGGAGGGGCGGTCCCTCTCCAATTTCTGAGGGGAAGGGGAAGCCCCACTCCTGGCTACAGGCACCACAGCCCGACCAAGGCTGCCAGATGAGGGAGTCGCTCTCGTGTTGGTAGGCCCCTCCCGGGGAGGGGAGTCCAATCCTACTGCAGGATCCACGACAACAGACTCACAACAGACTCGTGTGCTGCCCTGTAGCTGGCGAATTTTAGAGGGGCCCGGCCCTCTCTCCTGACAACAGGACTGACTCTGAAACAGCAGTGAGGAGGTGGGCTCGACCCTGGCAGACAACCAGTAACAATGATAGGAGGTAGTGCAAGTCACTACCTTTCTTAGGGCCTTGGCCTCCTTCTCCTCCGTATGTTGGAGGTGGCTATGAAGCCTCCCTAAGGGAACCTGGTCAAGCCTTCAGCTCAGTATGGTAAGTGCTAGTTCACTGCAGTCCCTGTGACTTCACCTAAGGCCAAGGAGCCAGTGGGGAGGGACAGTAGCCCATTCCCAATCCAGCCAATCTTCTACCATGTGACCAATAACTCCAGCCAATGAGGGGCCAGGAAGCTTAGCCAGCTTTATTTTAGGTCTCCTAGGAGGTGGTGGCACTAAAAATAGCAGCTCAGTGCTGGGATGACTAAGAAATGTCCAGGAAAGTCTAAAATAAGCAGAGGAGAGACCATGGACTGGGCCACGCCTGTTACACAGGAACACAAGGTATGTCCCAGTTCACACTCTGCCAAGAAACAAATCAACAAATGGGAAGAGCATAGGACCAAGAGCCAGTCTCAGCTGTATTGTCTTGGTCACATTTCCAAGGGATACCCACACACAGACTTGGATTCCTTGAGGCAGGGCACAGCCCCACCTATCTCTGCCCCTTCCACCCTGGTGTGCACTATGCTTAGCTCACTTGCTGCAGCCCGACCCCACTGCATCTTACCCGCAAGATGCCTTGCGCCCAGCCCCTGAGAGCTCTGGGGCAGGGGGATAGCTGAAAGAATGGATGAGGGCCATCTCTCCTTCTGCCCTGAGCAAGGCTGGGCAGCCCTCTGAGAAGGTCTTGGAGAAAGAGTGTGCTAATCGGAAGAAACAGCACAAGCAATTATCTGGGAAAAGGAAAAGAGATAAAGGCAGGAAATCGGGAAGCCAGAGCTGGAGGGTAAGAGGAACTAAGGTTAGAAGCTGATCCAAAGACAAGGGCTCACTTGTGGTGGATTGGTGAGGCAAAGGAAGTGTGTGGGTGGGTGTTTTTTTCCAATATTGTTCTAAATGATGCGATAACTTGCTAATACAAAAACTACTTGGCAGAAGTAGTGGTGGAGTGAAGAGGGTGGAGGGACTAAAGGACAGAAGAACCCTTTGGTCTGGTAGGGCAGAGCAGGACAGGGTGAACCTTCCAGAGGAACTGGATAGCTCAGGGTCTCCCAGAAAGTGTGAGAAGGAACCCTCAAAACTAAGTGGACTGCCCTGGCTGGTGTGGCTCAGTGGACTGAGTGTCACCCTGCAAACCAAAAGGCTGCTGATTTGGTTTCTAGTCAGGGCACATGGCCAGGTTGTGGGCCAGGTTCCCAGTTGGGGGCGTGCAGGAGGCAACCAGTCAATTTTTCTTTCCCTCTCTTTTCCCTCTCTAAAAATAAATAAATTAAAACAAAAAACAACAACCAAAAAACCCTATGTGGATTGAGACCTTTGCTTTAAAAATGCCAAGCAGGGATCCCAAAGCCAGTATCAATGTCATTTAAAGTCTGCTTGACCTTGATTTATCTCCTCGAAATGACTGTAACAGCCATAAGGTCAGATTCCACTGTCACCCACTTAACAGGCGGGAAAACAGGTTCAGCAATGTGGTCTGTCTTGTTCCAAGTTCATCCAGCAGATCAGTGCTGCCACTGGGTCTTCTGCTTGAGGCCTGTGCTTTCTTTCCACTACCTTTGCATCCCTGAGCTATAAACCACAGAGCTGGCTGTGTCGCTCCCCTACAGCACCACCGTTGCCTTGGGGTTAAAAGCCAAACCCCACAGGTGGCCAGCCACACCTGTCCCCGCCTCTCCAGCCATTCTCTCCTACCTCAATCCAACTCCACACCAGAACTAACCAAGCACTTACACACCTGGAAAGAAACAAAACACCAAGGTGCAGAGGTGACCTCCCAGCAGATTGGGAACTGACCTTTATGATGGCCTCTCCTAGAGCTCTTGCAAGAGGGCCACTGACCACGCCTTTTCCTGCTTCACCCCAGAAGCCCGCAGGCTGACTGAAGTCAGGCTCCTCGAACCCAAATGACTTTGATGGCCTCTCAGCCACTGAGCATCAGCTTCCTCTGACCCTTAGGTCTGTGGGTTCAAAGACCCTCTAAGAGTGTCTCAAAAACGGTGGCCCTCTCCCAATAAACTTGCACAGTGGTAGGATGCCCCAGCCTTGTGAATAATTTCAGGTTGTTTACACTTCCTGAGGTTCAGTCATAGACCCCAGGGTAAAACTGCTGGCCCAGAAGATGCCTTTTGGCAACAGAAAAACTTCATTTTTATCCTGAAATAAGGGGTGTTTCCAGTGACAAAACTTGAAATAGCAATGTCCAGCTGATAACATCTCATTTTCACTAATGTGTATTAGGTAGAAAAATGTGCTAAGGGCTTTGCATGCATTTGTCCCTGACTCCCTGCAAAATGAGGTTCAGCAACGTTAGCTAACTTGAACTTATTACTCAAGGCCACCAACCTAATAGATGGTGGAACTGGATGGAACCAGTGGACTCCACAGCCAAGACCCCCTGTAACAACTGAAGATAAAAATGAAAAGGAACAAAAAAGAGAAAGAAACGCACACAGAACAGCACAAAGAGCTGGGGCCCTGCTCTCTTGGCTCCTTGGCTTTCTCAGACAGCGCAGGACAGGCCTGAACCAGGACTTCTGCCTCCTAAGAAGACACCAGGCAGATTTCCACACTCAACAATCGGCGTTTTCATGGGAGATGATCTCACCTTTCCCTCAAACCTTCAGAGTCACAAGTCTGTTCTATTATCTCAGCAAAGCAAAGAGATCTTGGCCTAGCGAACCCGGGCAGGGACTGGGGCAGGAGAGGCAAGAGGATGTCACTAACCCCAGACTGATACACAGAAAGATGCTCACATGTTTAGGGACCCATCACTGAGGCCACTGGATTGTCAGCAGATATGCCAAGCTTATAGTGGGGTCCTTGAAATTGAGACCAACAGTGGCCATTAGCCTCACATCTACTTTCTGCCATGCCCTGAACAGCCCTGAAGCATACAGGCTGGGAAGAACCCCTCCAACAGGTGGGACTGACAGCCAGCCTTGGCTTAAACCTCCAGGGCCCAGGCATGTATTACAGGGAAAGAAGGGAAACACAGTGTACTGCCACCAGACAGAACTGCAGGGTACCTGTTCCTCAGGAACACACTGCCCCTCTGACTTCCCGGTGACCCTCCAGTGACTTTCCTTCCCACTCCCCACCGATGAAGTCTGAACCACTTACCCTGACCTCGAGGCCTTGAGGGACCTGCCCTCCGGGCTGCCCAGCCTTGTCTCCTGCCACTGACCCTCCAACCCCTT